TCCAATCTCCACCTCCTCATACCCTATGCAGCTCAAGGGCAATGAGCTTTGCAGACACACAGCAGGCAAGTCGATAAATCCATCTCCAGAGTGCTCCTTCCTGAGTGATCACCAGGTCCTGATGGGGCCCAGGCAGGGGAGGGGCTGTGGTCTGGGGATGAGGCGGAAGCAGAGGGCAGCCCAGGGAAGGGGCCTGGGTGTGCTGCACCTCAGTCAGGAGGAGAGGGGAAGCAGAACCTGTACAGAATGTGAGGTTATCCAGACCTCCCCTTTACAGGTGGAGAGACCAGGGCCCAGAGAGGGGAAGGGCAGGGAGAGCTGGCCAGAGCCAGCCTGTTCATGCATGAGCAGATTGTGCTCCTGGCCCAGTGCTGAGCACCACCCATGCCTACTGCCCCAGGCAGGGAGCAGACGCTGAGGGGGCTAAATGCCCAGCATCAGGGAGGTGGCAGTGCTGGGTTGGGGGCCCAGCGCCATCTTGACTCCACAGCCATGCAGTTCTGCCGGCAGTTCCTTGCAGGACTCTAAGGAGCCGTTCACACTTGTACTCACTGGAGAGATGCATGTTTACTATACATTGTCTGCCAAATGGCCTTGAGCAAAGGGCAGCCTTTTCTTTGGGCCAGTGGCAGGCCTACTTGGGGGTGCCTGGGCCCTGTGGCCAGCTCATTCAGTAATCTGCCTGGTCGGTTTTGAAACCTCTGGGCTAGGTTTCCCCACCCATTTAATATGAGACTGGGCGGGGCCCTGATTAAGGCTTGTGGCCACCATGGGGCGCTGAGCACTCACCTCAGGCACAGGGCCCACACGAGCAGGCTGGATAGGGAGGACAGGCCCTGGGGTGGCAGAATGAGCGAGCCCTGGCCCTCCTGGGTCTGTTTCCCTACCTCAGTGGGGACCATCGGTCATGCCCACCTCACCAGGCTGCAGGGCCCAGCAGGACAGGGTGAGTGCTCTTTGCGATGTGGGGGCCTGCTTTCCCAGGTGGTTGATTGTCATCTCACGTAATGGGGACACGTTTTCACCTGGTTGATGGGGCGAACCAGCCCCACAAACTGTGGAGGGTTGGGGGCTCTCTCTGCCACATAACCTCAGCCAAGGTTCCCCAGCTTCCTGGGGATGAGGATAGTATCTACTCCTAGAGTAGCAGGGAGGCTCCCGGGCTGGCACATCAAGCTTACGGCCCACACAAAAGTGCTCAGTGAACACTGGCTGCGTGACCAGGGGTCCTGAAAGAGCAGTCCTCACCATAGGGATCTAGGATGAGCCTGGGGTGCACTGCTGTGGGCGCTCCAGGGCCCTGAGGCACCTGTTGGCCAAAGTGTGTCCTGCAAAGGTCTGGCTGCGGGAGCTGCCTGAGCTTCGTGCTCTGTAACCTTGGACAAGTCCCTTCTCTCTGGGCCTCAGTTTCCTCCTCTGTAAAATGGGATAATTAAGAATTCAGACCATGGACCTAGAGGTACCTGGTCAAGCAAGGAGCCCAGAAGGCCGAGGTATATGAGGATTCCTAGACAAAGTCTCTGGCACAGTCTCTCGACCCCTCCCGTCACCCACGTGGCAGCACACACAATGTAACCGGCTTTAAATAAAGCATTTATTGATTAGTAGAAGCTTAAACAATTTGCATAATATTTTCAATACAATATATGGGAAGGATGGTTGAAAACCCCGAAAGAAGGCACTGGAGGAGAGTATCTCAAGACAAACCTTGTTGGTAGAAGAGGTTAGTGATGCATTTAAGATTAGGGCTGGGGGCAGGGACTGGAGGGTCCCTGAGCACCAGCCACCGATGCACACACATCTTGTGGGTCTAAGGCCTCGGCCCTGAAAAGCAGGTTTAGGGAAGGGAGGATGCAGGGCTGGGTAGGGCAGGAGAGGGGAACCCGGTCCAGGGGACCCTGGAGGGTATTAGTGTCTGCCCAGCCTGCCCTCCCTTGCAGTAGCAAGGGAAGGGGGGGGGGGCCTGTGAAGGCCAGTAGGTTCAGGCCCCTGGGGGGATGGGGGCTGCCCCAGTGGGGCTGCCTGGGCCTGACCCTCACCCCCAGGAACAAGAAGCTGAGGAAGAGAGCTAGGCCAGGCCCAGAAGGAACTCAAGGACATTTCAAAACGGGCCTGGAATTTTCAGGCCATAACCTCACCCCCAAATCCTCAGGGCCATCCACCATATCTTGGGGAGCCGAGGGAGCCCCACCCAGCTCCCTCAGGAGGCAGTGACTACCTTGGAGATGGCCCAAAGAGGACAGAACGCACAGTCTAGGAAACCCCTACCACCTTTCAACAGCCTGCCACTCTCCCCTCATCCTTCAGGCGCCAGCCCAAAGCATATGGGCGTAAAAGGGGCAGGACAAGCAGAGGGAATTCCAGAGACCCACAGATCCCAGACAAATCAGAGGAGACAGGCTGGGGCCGGGGGAGCAGGGGTTGGGCAGAGGCAAAGGCCCCTCTCTAGCTTCCAGCAACCCTCACGTCTGCATCTTGGCCTCCACCCAAATGTTCCCAACAATGTCTCCCCAGAGGTCATCTGCCTCCTTCCCATGGGGCACCTCCCCTCCACAGTCGAGCACATTCTCTGCCTTTCTCATTCCATCCCAGGCCTGCTGCTCCTACCCCCCCCCACCACCACCCCCAAATGAGGCAGCCCTATCCTCCCCCAGCATCAGTCTGGCTCAGCCTGAAGACCCCACTCCCTGCCCAGAAGTGGTCCTCCTATTCCAGGACACCCCCTCCTCCTCCACTGAGCACCTCCCCTCACCCATGTCGGGGAAAGTGAGGTCAGTGTCCACTCAGAAACTGGCCTTCCAGGCCCAGGTGGGAGGAGGGGAGAGGGGCCCATGGGTGGGGGCCTCACATTTGTCTTCCCAGTTCCAGTGAGCCCCTGGTGAGATGGAAGAGAATTCATTGGCTTTGAATCACAAAACTTGATGCTTTTATCTCCCTCTTTCCGAGAAGGATGGCAAGACCCATGTGGGAAATCGAGGCCACAGAAGAAGGGCAAGAAACAAGGGGTCCTGGGGACAGGCAGCCCTGGAGCTCCCCAGGCCCCTTCAGCTGTGCCCCAGCCCCAACACAGCAGGAAATCCCCAAAAGCAGACCCTGTGTCCAAGATCATCCAACAGAAAACGGGGCAATAAAGTGTTGACTGAACCCAATAAAGTGACTTGGGTGAGCCCTTCCCTGCCCAACCTCTGGAGGTGCCACCCCAGCCCTGCCCCTCCACACCCAGTAAGGCACAGATTTGGCGCCTCCCCGCCCAGCGCCAAGCCATGCCAGTGCCCTGGAGGAAGCGTCCTGGCGCCATGTCCAACAAAAGCACAAGGGCAGACGGGCCTAGAACTCGGTCTGCACCCCTGCACTGTCCTCGGTAGTCGTGTGGATGGGGGAGCAGCCACTGGGGTTTGACACCTGCTCCCCAGTCTCCTGGTCACTGGGCTTGGGAGGCTCATGGTCCGCAGCCTCTCCAGGTGGGAGATGCCAGAGGAGTGAGCTGGGCGGCGAGGAGGCCTCAGAGTCTGCCACTGGCTGGGGACTCTCCTGGGCAGGGGCCCCATTGAGCAAGGGGCCAGCCGGTGGGGGACTCTCAGCTTGCAGATTCTGGGCCAGCATGCCACGGGGCTCAGTGACACTGTCCAGGGATGCAGGTGACAGTGGCTCAGGGCTGGTCTCGAAGGGCAGCCCCATCTCCTCATCCTGGACCACGGATACCACCTGCTTGGCACGTCGTCGCTTCTCCGAGAGGGTGGCCGCTTCGGGGGCATCGGGGCAGGGGCTGCCATTGCCCCCAGTGCCATCACCACCGTACTCCTCACCCCAGTCGATGGGCGTGCCCTCGGCCAGGAGGTGCAGGTTGGGGTCACTGTTATGCATGACCATGCTGTCCCGGTACAGGTTGTGCTTCCTCTGCACGGCGGCCTCCTTCACAGCTGTGGGGCAGAGGGGAAGGGTCAGGCAGCTTCACACTGGGGCCACAGCAGTCACCATGTGGGACACTGAGCCCAACTTGACCCCCGTCATCTCCCTGAGACCTCTGACAGCCTGAGTGGGTGTCTGTGACTGGGACGTGACTTGTCCAGGCCTCACTGCTGGGAGGTGTGACCCTAACCCAGAGCCCATTGTTATCGGTCACCCATCTGACACTCCCAGCAGTGCCATGGACCCAAGAAGAGACTAAGGCAAGAGACTCAACACTACGCTCCTGAGGCCACACAGCTAAAAGTGGGCTTAACACAGCCCCATGGGTGTAAGTCTCGTGCTCTTCTTTGCACCTCAGGGACCGCACCACACTCCCCGCAATCATCTCCTGACAGTAATAACCAGCACCAACAGCCATGAGAGTCACTGCCACCCCCAGCTCCACAACTGGTCCTCCCAGCCCTCCCGGTGGGCAAGGCAGGCACATACCCTGCATGATGTCCTTCATGACGGTCTGCAGCACCACCTCCTCATATGTGTTCTCCACCAGGATGAACCTGGCAAAGTCCTCAAAGATCAGCTCCTGGAACCGGGGCAGCTCCTGCTCGGGCGGGGTAGGGGACAGAGAGAGAGGCAGAGGTCAGGGCTATTGGCTCCACCCCAACCCAGCCAGTCTCTCTAGGACCAGAGGTGGCAGCGGGCCAAGAGGCTGGAGCAGTCTGGGTGGGTGGGTACGTGGGGCGCTCACCGACTTGCAGGTGGGGGCCAGCTTCCTGAGCAAGAACGGGATGGTGATCTGCAGCAGCGCCTCCCGGAAGAACCTCTTCCGCACAGAGCTGCTGTCGTAGTCGTATTTCTGTGAGGAGGAAGGGCGCAGGGTCAGTGGGATCTGAAGCCAGAGCAGTAGGCGCCAACAGCCCCCAGCAGAGGTGGGAAGCCAGTGGTCTGATCTGAACGTCAGGGTCCTCATCTCTACAAGGGGGCCAGAGTGTCACCTCCTGACAGGGTCAGTGATCCTGGTGCCAACTCATGGACTGAGCTCAGGTCCAGCAGGGGCGGGGGGCACTCACCTTCAGCACCCGCTCCAGGATCCGCTGGATGGACTTGCACAGCTCCTCCTTGGTGGGCCCCTTCCCCAGCTCCTGGTGCAGGAGGGTCTCGAAGGTGTACACGGCGTTGTCCATTTGCTGCAGGGGACACCACAGAGCAGGTGAGCCCCAGAGTGATCACAGCCCTTTCCATCTGCCTCTAATGATCCTCAGTCAGGGCCCCCAGGCCCGCCACCCCCGCAATCACCCACCCCCTCACTCACCCACCAACCCCCTCACCCACACACCTCACTCACCCACCCCCTCACTCCTCACTTATGTACTGAGTGTCTATAATGTGCCTAGCATTGGGGCCAGTCCCTGCTTCAAAGAAACAGGAAATACAGGACCCTGTGGGAGCCTGCAGGAGGAGGCATGGGGGAGCAAGGGGAGCCTCCTAGGTGAACAGAGGGACAGGCGTTCCAAGCAGATGGGGAGCACAGGCAGAAGACCTGAGAGGACAGCGCCAGAGCCGAATGTGGCATGTAATGTGGCCGGTAGTGGGGCCCTGGGGGAAGGGCCTCTCCCTGGAGGATGGGGTGTGCTAGGGCAGCAGTGCGGGCCCACCTCACGCATGTGGATCTGGGCTCGCTGCTTAAACACCGATGTACTGGACACGTCGAAACGCTGCTGCAGCCCATCGAGCCGCAGCAGCTCCATCTTCTCGTAGCAGCTCTGCATCTTGATGGGGTGGTAGGCCAGCTGGGACAGCTTCTCCATGTACTACAGAGGGGTGGGACATGTGCGACCTGAATGGCCAGGCAGACCCAGAGACCGACACCTGCCTGGACCCTGGGACAGGAAGGACAAGGACCTGGAGGCAGGGGATTCATGGTCCCGGGCACATTTCCAGGCAGAGAAGCCGGCCTCATGTGGAGAGAAGGGTTCTTGTCCTCTCTCAGGTGCTGGATGACCATGGACAAGTTGGTCACCCTCTCTGAGCCTTGGTTTCCTCAGCCTCAGAATCGAGGGATAGTTTTTGATGCTCTCTAAAGGCCTTTCCAGTTCTCAAATTCTATGAGTATTATTGTCTCTGGACTCCCCAGTTTGGGGTGTGGAGAAGAGACTAAAATTACAGACTCAAACTCGGACAACTACGTGGGAATCCAGGCAGCCGGCAACCCCAACATGGGGCCTGTGGTAAGGCATTCACCCAGGTTATCAGGTGACTGAGGGCAAATGAGAGAGACAGTTCGTCTCCATTGGTGGGGTACACGACCTGGTATATATCGACTTAATTCTACCTTGTTAATGATATCACCCACACCTGAAGTTTGTCTTTCTTCCTTTCTTCCTTCCTCCCTCCCTCACTTCCTTCCCCATCCCTTCTCTGTTAAATTCTTTTATACTTTAACACCCTGCTTGGTTTATAAAGGCTGAGGGCAGGGGTAACATTCCTACTTTGCTCTAACTGTGGGGCCAACAGGACCTCCCACTTGGCTTGTGGACTCTACCTCTCTGCATACAGGTAAACGCCAGGAAGGAGAGGGCCTGACGGGCAGACCAGCCCCAAAGCCAGAGGCTCACCTCGCCCAGCTTGTCAATGCCGCCCTCGTTGATGACGTTCAGGTTCATGTCGGTGACCTCCTTGAAGAAGACGTCCCGTACCTCAGTGAAGCCCTGGCTGGTGGGCACCATCAGGGCCTCCAGGATGGATGGGATGTAGGGCTGGACGTGGTTCCGGACACACACCTCTGCCTTGGGGAGGATGAAGGCTACGCCCAGAGGGAGCCCAGGTTGGCAGAGGCTCCAGTGGGGTGGCAGGCAACCCCCAAGAGCACCTCCAGGCCATCCCAGAACCCCGGTGCTAGAGGCCTGATGTTATTGTTATTTTTATATATTGTTAATTCAATTGTCTGGAATTTCTATAACCTTGCTCTGTAGATGGTATAGAGCAAGGCCTCAAACCTTTTCAAAACTGTTCTTGCAAGCACTGTAGGAATGCACCAGGGCCGCTCCAGACCCAAGCACGCTGGAGGCTTGCAATGTTGTATTCTTTTTTAAATAAAACCACTGGTAACAACATTAGCAAGCTAAATGATTCTGGAGAAATATTTGATAAAGATAATAGATCCATGCAGTAAAAATAATTGGATATTCTGAGATTGGACCCTGGTATTTCTGAAACGGTGATGGCAAGAAAGAGGAAATGACTAGTCCAAAGGTGTCTGCCGCATTCTGCTTAGCTAGAGGTGGAGAAAAACTCAACCTAAAACAGTAAACAAAAAACCAAAACACTTTAGTGGATTCAGTGAGCGTCTTGGTTTTGCAAAAACTGCGCCAGGTCCTGTTCTGGAATGGTAGTGGGGCATGGCTCTGAGTAACTGTGTGAAAGGCCATCTTCCCTGTAGGCAGAGACCATCTCCAGGACATTCTGGTCAAGACATTGTTACTCAGGGGTTGTTCTGATATCCTCCCCCTCTGCCTGGCTGTTGTTCCACAAAATAAATGCCAACTCTCGGTCTCCTATCCAGCTCACAATGACTCCGACTAGGAGAGACTAACCCACAGGAAACGGCAAAATGTGCTATGGGTAACAAACAGCTAATGGATCCCATCTGGTTGGGAACAGAAAGGTGCATAAAGCGACCCGGAAAACTCAGACTTGTTGAAGTAAATCATGACAAAATTAAACTGATGTCTGCTAAAAATCACATGTGGTAAAATCTGATGAGCTAAAGATGAGCAGAAGGCTTAAACTTCCTTGACAAAAATTTACATCTTCAAAAGCCAGTCTGTGCAAAAGGGAAAAATGCAGAACAGAATGTCAAATTTTCATGGAATCTAGACTTTCTGGAGCCATGGAGGCTGAATGAGCCCCCAAAAGTATTTAAACTTTAAACCAAAAATATTCCCTGAATTCTTCTTAAACAATAATTTAGCTTAACTAGTAAAGAATGTCTGTCTTGAGCATTATGCTCTTTTAAGAACTATCTATATAGGATCCAACTGACAACAGCAACTGGAAAGGTTAAATAGGAACCTTAGCGGGCAGCAAGTTTATGTTAATGGGGAGGAACAACTCAGAAAAGGAGAATGAGAATGGTTGTACAACCTGAAGAATGTAATCAACGACACTGAATTAAACATGTAGAAACTTGGGGGGAAAAAAAAATCCAGCCTGTGGAAAGTGAATTGTAGAAATAATGGTCACAAAACAACTCAAGGGGTTGGAGGAACAACGGCTCAGATTTGATTTTGATTTTTAAGAACAAGCAGTGAGCCAACTCACTGCTATAAAATTTACATAGAAAAGAATTCCACCTGGTACAGGTCTTCATAGGGTGCGTGGGAGGTGCAAACAGTTAAGGCGCTCTGCTGCTAACCACAAGGTTGGAGGTTTGAGTCCACTCGGAGATGCCTCGGAAAAAAGGCCTGGCAATCTGCTTCAAAACTCAGCCATTGAAAACTCTATGGAGCACAGTTCTACTCTGACACACATGGGATCACCATGAGTCAGAAGTGACTTGACAACAACTAGTTTTGATAGGTCTCCTTGAGATAGAAATGAGCTCAGCCCTGGCCCCTGGAAGGCCCGTGCAATAACCACAGGCATGGCAGGTGCCCTGCCTACCTCGGATCTTGTTGGCCAGGTGCTCCTTGGAGGTAATGATCTGGTCCATGTCGGTGCGGATGACCGCTTCCATGGCCGGTCGGGCCAGCTGCAGCTTGGACAGCACTACCTCAAAGTGTTCCTTGGCCTGCTCATACACCATGCGGTACACAGCATCTGAGATCTGTGGGCAGAGCCACAGTGTCAGTGCCAGGGCTGAGAGCACCAGTACATCTGCAGAACCCCTGTCCCTACCCCCAGCTCCCAGGCCCACCCACCTGGATCCACTGCCGCAGTCGCTCCTGGGGTTTTCCCTTCAGCCGTGGGGCGAGCTCAGCCTTCAGCTCAGGGGCCAGCTCCTCCATCACCAGATTGCTCAGGATCTAGGAGGCACAAGTCGGGGCAGGCATTGGAGCATGTCCAGCTGGCATGTTCTTCTCTGCATTCCAGAAGCCCAGCCCCTTGAGCCCCCAAGTCTTCCCCAACTCCTCTGTGCGTGGCCCTTTGTTCTCTTTCTCCTGAGCCCATTCCCACAGGTCCCAAACTGATCTGCCTGGATGTCCTGCAGGATCCTCAGGAGTCCCACCTCAGGACCGTTGCACATGCTGCCTCCCTGCCTGTAATACTGTACCTCTCCCCCCATCCCCTTTTCCTGCAAGTGGAATTGTGTGTGTTTATTGGCTGAATGTGTTTCTCCTGCAGACACAGAGCTCCCTGAGAGCCAGGGCCATGTCCATCTTGTTCACAAGCCCAGGATAGGTGCTCGGTAAATGACTAAACAAAATAACAAACATCTCCACCTGGATGACCCTCCTGGGTCCCAACATATCCAAATCTGACTTTGCCATCTCCTTCCAAACCTGCAGCTCCCCAGAGCCTGTCTCTGTACCCAGCCCCACCCTCTAGGCCCTGAGTTCAAGCAGGATGCCTTCTGTAGCCCCCCTCTCTGGCCTCACCTGCACCTCATTCCCACACAGCATCTCCCAGGTGCCATACAGCTCCTTGGACTGGCGGTACATGCGGATGGCGTCTGTGAATGCGGGGCCCTCCACCTTGGAGTCCTCGGGGATCCCTGTCCAGGAGAGGGAGGGAGAGAGGAATCAGCACAATGGCCCAGGGACCTCCAAGACCCACTGACTGACCAAACCACACACACGCACACATGCATGCAAACGTGCTCACACACACGTGCGTGCTGCCTGGAGAGGTGGCTGTGACTCCTGCCACCCTTGCAATAATGGTAGCAGTCAGAGCTGCAGTGATAATAACAGCAATAATAAAACCCCACCTCCCCAACAAGGCAATCCTCCTTGCGTCCTCCTTATCTCCTTGGAATCTCCCAACCACCCCACCTCGTGGGCACTATTATTAACCCTACTTTACAGATGAAGAAACACACAAGTTCTGAGGTTAGGCCACTGGCTGAGGGTCACAAAGGCAGTAAATGGCACAGCAGGACTAGAAGCCACTCCACCCTCCTAGGGAAGGCCACCTAGCACTCAAGGGATGCTCCAGAGGCACCCAGAGATCCTCGTTCGGATCCTGTTTTCTCCCCTTACTTTCTAGATCAACGATCTGCAAATTTTTCCTGTAAATGGCCAAATAGTAAGTTTTTTTGGCTCTGCACGCCAGACATCTCTGTTGCAAAAACTACTCAACTCTGCGGTTGTAGCAAGAAAGCAGCCACAGACAATCCGTAAACAAATGGGTGTGGCTGAGTCCCAATAAAACTTTATTTACACAAATAAGTGGTGGGCCAAATTTGGCCTGAGGGCCATAGTTTGCTAAGCCTTGTTCTAGATCCTGGGACGCAATGGGCCTCAGTTTCCTCTTCTGAACAATGATCCCTGGCCTGGCCTCACACACCAACCGTGAGGCTCCATGGCTAAAGACAGGGCTGCAAACTATAAAGTCCAAGGTCAGGGCCCCAGTGCAGGCTCCCAGCCCTGTACCACATCACACTTTTTATTAGTAACTAGAGTGGTGAATCGGTTCATCCTGCCTCCCCTGCCAGGCACGGGCAGGCACAGGCTCTGTCTTGTTCACCACTGAGTTCCCAGTCAGGGCCTGGCATGGATTTTTGTTATTGGTGGTGGTGGTGTTCGTGGCCCAGATGATTCTACACCCCCGTGCCTCCCCCTCATGCCTACAACCCCCTCTCCCCTGTGGTGTCGAGGTGGATCAACGAGCAAGGCGTGAACCTCCAGACTGGGGGCTGGGGAGGCAAGCTACAGGAAGTTGCAAAATCCACTTGGAGAAGAATGTGGTAAAACACCACCGAGCCAGGCAGTGGACGGTCACCATGGCTGCGTGCCTCCGACCACTGCGTCCCAGGGCCGAGGGAAGAGGAAACCTCGACTCCCACTGCGATGACTACAGGCTGAGTCACCCCTGCAGGGAAAAAGCCCCTCTCTGGCAATGGGAAGCCCCTCCTTCCCCATGCAGGCTGACCATAGCAACCGCTGCCTATCAGAGCTGTAAGGGAGCTTCCTACTTGGGAAACCAAGGGCCAGCCCCCATCCCTGCTGTGGCTGGCTCCCTGTGGGCCACAAGAGGGTCTAACTCCTCTATTTCAGGGACCTGAGGTTAGGCAGAAGGGACAGAAACAGGGCAGGGATGCTCAGCAAGGCGGCATGTGGGCAAATGCAGCCCAGGCTCTCAGGAGGGGCATGTCTCCTAGAGACCGGCTTTTGCCTGGGAAACCCAGCCTGTCCCACATCAGGGATTTTCATTCTGCACGCAACAAGCCAGGTGTGCAGGGCAGGGTCCTCTTTCCAGGTGGCCGGAAGGTGAGGCAGAGGGCAGCCCAGCAGCAGCTACAGCTGGGCAGCCGGAAGGAGGCTGCTGGTGTCCCAGCCCTGGCTCTGACTGGCTAGACATGCAGCCTTGGGCCTATTCCTAAGTTCCTGTGCCCCTTGGGACCCTCTGTATTCTGCATGCTGAGCTGTCCAGTTTTACAAGGGTAAGAGCAACCCTCCTGAGCTCTTCCTGTGAGCCCAGCCCAGGCTGAAGCACTTCAGACCCACCCGCTCATTTAACCTCAAAACAACCCTGTGAGGGAGTGGCTATTCTTAGCCTCACTTTTCCTGATAAGGAAACGTGAGGCTCAGAGAGGCAAAGTTACTGGTTCAAGGACACACAGCTAGGGAATGGCAGCATCAGGGCCAGAACCAGGACCAGTGACTACAGCCAGACCCGGAGACTTTCTGCCCACAGTGTCCTAAAGCTCAGGCTGCTCAAGGAAAGCCACATTCCTCAGTCCTGACCAGCAGCAGAGGTGGGTCAGACTGGAAGAGGCCTTGACCTCACACCGCAGGTCCACAGTGAGAACTCCGCGCATTGCATCGGTGGCGGTGAGTGCCCCAGCTGCCTCTTGCCACCCCCAGCTGCTCTAGGAATGCAGGATATGACGGGCCTTGGGTCAAGCTGGCATCCACCCAGCTTGGCTTCCCTCCCCCACTCACCCCCTACTTCCTGGCAGCCCCCAGAGTGAGCAATTCCAGGCTTCACAAATTCCAGCCCCAGCCTCGGAGGCCAGAGTAAGCAGAGCTTTCCCACAGTCTTCAGGGTGGAGGAAGGGCCCACATCTAAAACCAGCCTTGTCAGCCCACCCTGGGGTGAGGGCTCCACCCTCAGCCAGAACACCTGCAGTCTCAGGATGCCCCTTCCTCCCCTGCCCCTGCACCCCAGGCCTGGCATCCCCTTCCTACCCATCGTACCCCACACCCAAGAGGCTTACCACAGCCTCCCGGTTGAGCACAGGCTATATACCAGGCTTTACCCAAACCACTCAGTTACTCTTCCCAATAACCCTATGAGGTTGAGATTATCAACCTCCCCGTTCTACACATGGGGACTGAAGGGTGGCTCTTCCCCACCTAGTCTGTCCCCAGTATCCCCTACCTTCCTTCTCCACCTGGCCTGGGTCATCCAACCAGGTTAGCCATTGCCACCAGCCTTGGACACCTGGAGAAGGTGAAGCTCAGCCAGGGAGGGAGGGAGGACAGAGGACGGGTGCCCTAGGCCAAGTTGCCAGGGCCCTGAGTGCCTCCGCCTCTGGGCACTACCCAGAGCCGCTGCGGACCTGGGAACAGGAGGCCCTTTGTGGGTGGGCAGGGCCCAGCCCAGGTGAAGGCAGGGCAGAGGTGGCTCTGGGGAGTTATGCAGACGGTCAGGTGAGCCGACTCACTGCTGCAGCCAGCCTGGCATCCAGGTGTTGGTGCCGACAGCATCTACCGCCTGTGGACTGATCAGACAGAGCTGGTGCCCGAGGCAAGACAGAACAGAGGACAGGGCAGGGGGTAGGGACAGCTGTCTCCCTCTCAGAGACCCTGAGGCCAAGTCACTAGGAAGGAAGTTCAGGATCGAGGACAGGGTTGTTCCTTCCCCAAGGGGAGAAAGACCTCCAATGCCCCACCTTCATCTTGGGGGACAACTGTAAACCTTTTTAATAAAACTCCTTAGAGCCCTCCCTGACCTGACCCCAGTCCCCCTTCAGTCCCATTTCAGATCACCCCCTCCCCACTTCAGGGTCTCCTGCAGTTCCTCCTCTATACTGTTTCTGCCTCAGGGACTCCCACCATGCTTCCTACTACCCATGTCTGGAACACTCTTCCCCTCTGCTCTCTGACTCTACATCCCTCAGGTCTCAGCAGAGCCCTCACCTTCTCAAGGGAGCCTGCCATGATCAACTCCCCCACAAAACACACACGCAAGGTTGGCCCCCCATACATGCACACACCCTCAAGGCTCCCTGGGGGGCTCCTGTCCAGCATGCAGCACAGCTGTGACACATCACCGCCAGCATCTTCATCTGTGTAACATATGTCTCCCCACCAGACTGCCGGCTGCATGAGGGCAGAGACCATGTCTTGCTGCCTTGTTGCATCCCCAGAGCCCAGCCCCAGGCCTGGCTTAGACACTAAAAATGTTTGTTGAATGAATGAATGAACTGGAGAGCCCTCATAACTTTACAGATGAGAACGAGGCCCTGAGGAAAAAAAGTAAAGCTCCTTGTAGGTTGGTAGTAAAGAAATAATGGCCAGTCTTTACTGAGTATTGAGTGGATCCTCGCTGTTAATCTCATAAACCTCCTAAAACACAGAAGGGATTATTATCCTCGTTTTACAGAGGTTTCAAGAAGTCAGTCAGTCTCCTAAGGTCATGATAAGGAGTCCTGGTGGCACAGTGGTTAAGATTTCAGCCTTGGAAACCCTATGGGGCAGTTCTACTCTATTATATAGGGTCACTATGAGTTGGAATTGACTCGATGGCAGGGATTTGCTAGGGTCATGTTGCTAGAAAGTTGCAGAATCAAGATTCAAACATAAGGACTATTCTGTGAACAATATCCCCAAGATTTTTCTGAGCAACACAGAACTACGTTTTCACAGAGGAAGAAGGTTAACGGTGGTATCATAATGGTTTCTTAGAAGAAAACTTAGAACAGTTCATAGAGCAGGGTTGCTATGCCACATTTGGCCACTAGGTATCATTACACACGTTACCCAGGTAAATAGCCCTCCCTGCATCCAGTGCCTGAATGTTGCTCACCATTGTTGCAGTGCCTGATACAATCCTGCAGGACAGCCTGCCACTTGCCCTGCTCGGCCTCCGTCATCATGCAGAAGTAGTAGTGACGTGCAGAAGGATGCCAGAGGATGAGAGGGAACTGTGTGGGGCACTTGAGGATGGGGGCAGTGCCCGATTTTGACGTGGTCCCTGTGAAAACAGCACCCACTGAGCAGCTGCCCATTGGGGTTTCCCTCAGCCAAAGGAGAGCAAGCAGTTGATCCCTCAGCCTCTGCTCTGAGGGGTAGGCTCAGGCTCACAGTTTGGTCTGTTCCAGGGTGACCAGCAGGTCACTCTTGCTGTGTCCTCCACAGCCTGGCTAAAGGAACCTCAGAATCCCACAGCCTCCATTTAGACCCTTTTCTTAGAGCCAGTAATACAGTAGCATCCACCTCCCTCTTAGGTAAGGTTCTAAATTCTACATGTAAGGCACACAGGGTCAGAGACCTCAGAGCTTCAAAGACCAAGCATTACCTTCTTGGGTTTCCCTTCAAAGCTCAACCATGGAGGCCAAGGTGTGGTTTAAATGTCCAAGTGGGAAGGGAGGAATGGGGAGCGGGGGTACAAAATAAATAAAAAGGGATTTTTTTTTTTCCTGTATTTTGTTGGCATGGATATTCAGGTTCCAGCAAGATAACTGGTCTTGTGTTGTGATCCCACCACTGTTCTATTAATAATACGAAAATAACTGTTCTTTGTGCCCAGCTCTGCATAGGCCCCTGGTGGATGCAGTGTTCACATCCCTTCATGGGATCTACACAACACCCCACGAGGTCAATGCTGAGTGTCTGTCTGCATTTGTGTAGATGCTGAAGAACTTGAGGGCCAGAGGGAGGAAGCAATATGCCCAAGAAGACATGGCACAAACACAGCCAGAGTTGGGACTGGAATCCAGGAATGTTGGAGTCCAGCCAAGCCCTCCACCACCATGGGGGCTTTACTCTCAAGTCCCAGTCTCAGGGCATAACCTGCCCCCAGCCAGCATCTCCCCTGCCCCTTAGTTGCTCTGGGATCATCTGAGGCAGATGTTCTTCTAGTTTAGGCTGCTGGGGAGTCTCAGACAGGGCGGGTGGAAACAGAATGTCTGAAATAACAACTCCTCACAAGTGCAGTGTTAACTTGGTGGTTTATAGAGCTGGATCACCTGGACTGACTTCTCCCAGGAGTCCCTCAAGAACTCTGGGAGGTGGGAAAGGAAGAGAGCAAGATCCCAGTTCCACAGCTGCAGAATACACAGCTTGGGAACCTGCAGGACTCAGGTGGGGTTCCACCCTGGTCCAGCCCCTAGTCACTGAGTGGCCTTGGGCAGACTCCTGCCTCTCACAGCTACAAGGCCTCCCCTTTGAGGTTCTGCTTGGTACCTGGTAACAACTCTAGGCCCATCTGGTCTTTCTGCAAACACAGAACTTGGAGCTCCAGGCTCAGGGCCTCCCCCTCCCCTGGCCAACACCCAGGGCCTGTGCAGGGCATCTCAGTCTGGAATGAGTGGTCCTTTACCTGGTAAGCAGTTGCCAACAAGCTCCAGGTACTGGTCGATGGAGGTGAGGATTTTGTAGCCTGCACTGTTGATGACAGCTCGGGGTGGGACCTGTCGCTCATAGGCCTAATGAGGGGATAAAAGAGATGGTTCCTAGGGGCTAAGGATGTAATCAAGCCCAAATCCCACTCCCAACTATGGTTTAGGGCCCCACTCAGTGTTGCCTGCATGGGGTGCGGTGAGGGGGGAGAGGTGGGGAGGATGAGGAGGGAGAGGAAGAGAGGGAAAAGAGGGAGGAGGAAAATTGACTACCATCATAACTGGAGATAGCATGGTATAGTGATCTAGACCCAGGCTCTGGACTCAAATCCTGGCTCCACTGAGTGCTATCAGGGTGATGCTAAAGTTAAAGTTCCTGAACGTCCTATGCCTCAGTTTCCTCATTTATAATACCAGGGTAATAGCAGTTCCTACAGGGCTGTGTCAGGATTGAGTGAGGTAATCCACAGAAAACATTTGGCATAGTGCCTGGAACACAGCAAGGACTCAATAAGCGTTGCTGAGGTTATTATTGTTATCATCATTACTGCTACTATTGTCTGTATTACTAGCAGCTACCACTAGCTGAGTGTTTATTACATATCAGACACTGTGCTAAGGGCATTGCATACTTCATTTCACAGAATTCTCTCAATCCAAGAGGTGGGAACTACTATTAGCCACAAGTTCACACAGCTGGTAAGCAGCAGAGTTAGGACATGAACCAGGTCTGTCTGCCTCCAGAGCCCAAACTCTTTGACCATTATCCTGAATTGCCCACCAACTTCTTAGGTTCTGAGTATCACATAAGTCTTTGCCCTTGGAGGAGAACAGGAATTAGATCTGGACCCTGCTTTTTTATACCAATGGTGAAAAAGCAGTTCCTCATATAGCAGGGCTGCAATGCTGCATCCTGCCACTAGCTGTCACTATTCAACACATCTCTTGAGAGTGGCTCAGAATCTTTAGGGCAATGATTCTTAAAGTGAGGTCTCCAGATCAGCAACATCAACATCACCCTGGAACTTCTGAGATATGCAAACTCTTGGTCCGACCCCAGACCTGAATCAGAAACTCAGGAGGCAGAGCCAATAGTCTGTTTCTTAACAAGGTGCTATCATTTGAGAACCACAGCCCTGGGGCATGAAGTTGCTCTTGACTTTAGTGTTGTTCTAACACTGGTTTGCCTTGAAACAGAGGAGACTCTGCTCTGGCTGCTCTGGAGAAACATTAGATAAGAGAAGAAATTCTGTTAGTGGCTCAACCAGGTGGGGTTCCCCCAAGGGCCCAAAGCAAAGATAAGAAACAATCCGCCCTTCTCAGACTCTTATCTAACAACAGCAGGGCAGGGGCTTATAAGGGAGGGATCAGAAAGGAAAAAGATAGGACCACAGCCCAGGGAGCAAGGCAAGAGGGCAGACATAACAGGGGTAAGCTGGGACAGGGAATGGCCAGACACATGTTTTCAACAGCTTACTCTGGCTACTGTAAGAGCAAGGATGGGAGGGGCCACAGGAAGCCCATGGAGGAAGAAGGCTGAGGTAGGAGGAGGGCAGGGCCCAGGGTGGTGGCAGAGGAGGGATCTGGAGGGACTTGAGATGACTGAGGAGGATGGATAGAACCTAGAGTTGGTTATGAGGGGAGAGACAGAGTCAAAGGTGACCTCAGGGAGCTGGGTGCCTGGACAGATGGAATGCAATTAGAAGAGGAAACCCAGGAGAGCAAGCAGGCTGGGAAAGTGCTGAGGCTTCGCTTTGGCCTTGATGACACCTCAAAGTTAGGGGCGAGAGGCATGCAGTGATTCAGGGGTGGGGGCATGCAGTGGTTTAGCAGTGGGGGCATGCAGTGATTTAGGGGTTGGGATGTACAGGGGGGTTCAGGGGTAGGGGGAGTGCAGTGATTTAGGGGTGGGGGTGTGCAAAGTCGTTTCGGGGTGGGGTGTGCAAAGTGGTTTAGGGGCAGGGGTGTGCGGTGATTTAGGGATGGGATGTGCAGTGATTTAGGGGTGGGGGCGTGCAGTGATTTAGGGGTGGGTGTGCAGTGATTTAGGGGTGGGCCTGTACAGTGGCTTAGGGGTGGGGGCATGCAGTGAATTAGGAGCAGAGTGTGCAATGATTTAGGGGTGGGGCGTGCAGTGGTTTGGGGTGGGGACATGCAGTGATCTAGGGGTGGGGCTGTACAGTGGTTTAGGTGTGTGGGCATGCAGTGAATTAGGAGTGGAGTGTGCAGTGGTTTAGGGGTGGGATGTGCAATGACTTAGGGGTGCGGCATGCAGTGGTTTAGGGGTTGGGGCATGCAGTGAATTACGAATGGAGTGTGCAGTGGTTTAGGGTGGGGGCATGTGCAGTGGTTTAGGGGCTCAGTCCTTGCTGCCCAGCCACTGGGGCTCACCACTTTGTTCTCGTAGAGCACCAGGCCATAGTTGTGGGGCACAAGGCTGAAGCGGTTCCTCCACTTCTTATTGTCCTCCTGGTACTGGAAGAGGTTCCCAGAAAAGATGATGCGCTCCTCCAGTGGCACCTGGGGAGAAAAGAGGGCAGAGAATGAGACCCAGGATCCCCCGTTGTCTGGGGGGAGGGGACAGGGTCCCTAAGAAAGCGACTGCCCAGCCAGCAGCACCTGCTCCCTCACCCCTGCCAGGCCCCTGCTTGGGGGCACCCTTCACCTGGATCTCACTTCGTCTCACTAAGGCCTCTGTGGCACGGCTGCATTGCACCCATTTGGCAGATGAAGAAAGTGGGGCAGAGTAGTGAAGGGCTTTCCCTGGGTCCAGGTGGGGCAGTAGTGATGCCAGGACCTGAATCCAGGCCAGGCACAGCAATGCAGGACCCAGGCAGGACTAGGGACATGCACTCTGCCCTGGCCACAGGCAGGCAAGGCTCCATGGAAAGTCAGGGTGGGTCTGTGAGCTTTCTCCGCTTCCCCCTCCACTGCATCGTGGGTGCAGGCAGTCATTCCAGCGGGAGCAGACACACAGAGCCAGGAGTGCAGAGGCCCAGCGCCTGTACTCCGTGACCCATGGGCACATCTCTCCCTGGCTCTGGGCCTCAGTTCCCTCTGGGGCTCCGAAAGCTTGAACAAGATAGCCCTGATCCGGGTGATGGCACAGGGGGCCTCAGTCTGAGGTGTCTGACATTTGACCAGTGTCCTGGTGACGAGAGTGGGCTCCAGAAACACCCAGACCTTCCTGCAAAGCCCTCGCTCTGCCTCTGAATCCCAGTGTGACTTCAGCCTGTCACATCACCTCTGTGAGCCTCATTTTCCCGTCTCTAAAATGGGGACAGTGACAGAACTGACTTGGTCGAGTTACTGTGAGGATTCCGTGAGGTGGCATGTGTAAACATCCCAGGCACTCAGCCCCATACGTGGGAGCCGCCATAACCACTGCTGTGGTCACTCAGAGTCTGTGTCACAGTCTCCCAGCTCTGTGGATCACTTATGGGGGCAGGGGAGGGGGGCTTCGAGCTGGCACTAGCAGCATCCATCCCATGAAGCACTTCCAGAGAGCACAATCACGGGGAAGTGTCTGGAAAGGAGATACAGATGCCACAATGGGCACAGGCTTGCTCCTGGGTGGGAGGGATTTCGGGGAGTCTAGTGCTCCTTGCTGCTTCTCAGCAGGTTCTAATTGTTCTACAATAAACATGGTGCTTTTTCCAGAAAGAAATATTTTAGCATACATAATAATGGGAGAACTTATTTTAATTGTGCCTAAGCCTGGAGCCCTGGTGGTGCAGTGGTTAAAAGCTAACTAAGGCTGCTAACCAAAACACTGGCAGTTTGAAATCACCAGTCGCTCCTTGGAAACCCTACGGGGCAGTTCTGCTCTGTCCTATAGGGTCACTATGAGTCGGAATCAACTCGATGGCAATGGATTTGGAAACCTGCCTGGCTTCTTCACCCTGCTTCTGGGTCTCCCTAGTAGATAGCGTCAGGTGTGAGGGGCCCCTCTGCAAGACCCCCTCAAGCCACACTCCAGACACGTCTTGACACTCAGTGCCCTTCACATGCCCCTACCCCCACGCCGTGCTCCCTCCCGCTACTCCAGGGGAAACGACAAAACATTCTTGGAAAACGAGAGCCATTGTACTCAAACAATAGGACCCCAGCACTGCTTCCTACCCAGGGGTAAAAATAGAGCTGGCTTTACCCAAGCTCCCCCCACCTACACACACACACACACACACACACACACACACAGAGCTGGCTTTACTCAAGCTCCCCCCACCTACACACACACACACACACACACACACACACAGAGCTGGCTTTACCCAAGCTCCCCCCACCTACACACACACACACAGAGCTGGCTTTACCCAAGCTCCCCCCATCTACAACATACACACAGACACACACACACAGAGAGAGAGAGAGAGCTGGCTTTACCCAAGCTCCCCCCACCTACCACACACACACACTCACACACACACACACACAGCTGGCTTTACCCAAGTCACCAAGCTGCTGTGCAGGAGTCTATATTTAGATCCAAGGCCTACGCAAAACCCAGCCCTCAAATCCCCCCTTTTCTAGAAAGAACAGAAGTCTTCTGGCACCCTAGTAAGAGCCCCCTTCCCCAGGCTTCTCCAGGCTTAGGGGCAGGAACCCTTAACCATGCCTGCCCCCGGGGAGGCTGTGCAGACCTGAGTTCACTGCCCTGGCAGAGTCAAGCTCAGCAACCCCCCTGAGTCTACCCCCAGATCCTTGGGCAGCTCCTAATGGGTGTTTGGTTTTATTTTTAAAACTTTCAAATGGCAGAGTCGTGTTTCGATTGGAAGGCCTGCAGGAAATGAAACGGAAGCCGGCAGCTCAGGCAAAATATTTGAGAATCTGCAGAGCTCTCTCAGAGGCCGCAGTGGGAATCTTTGGTGGGTGGTGCAATGGTCCGAGCAAAGGTCCTGGGACCAGACAACCAGGGTGACAGTCCCGGCTCCCCACACACACCATGGGAGCCTAGACAAGCGATTCCACCTGTCTGAGCCTCAGTTTCCACGTCTGTGAATTGGACACTGTCATAGTACCTCGCACAGAGGGGAGTCGTGAGAGCTAAATGAATGGTGCTCAAAACAACCGCTGTTGCAGCTGCTGGCATTCTTATCACTTCTAGATGCATGCCCTGGGTTAGATGCCTTTCCATGGGTGAACTTCTTTTAAAAATTGTTTGGTGATGCCATTTTTTTTCACTAATGGAATGGATGCTGAATCACTGATGGTTGGTAGTTTTTTATTATTTGAAAAAATGAGGTGCCAACTGCAAGTGAGACGTATCAGTTTCATGGTCCATGAAGCATATCACACATGTGGGACATATCAGTCCCATGGCACATCACCCTTCCTGGTTACACTTGAGCCATAAAATATCTTACTCAACTTTCCACAAATACACGTGAAATACTATACAAACACTACACTTGCTGCACATAATCGGTATCAGTCTGACCGAGAGTGGGCCATATTGGTGCCATGTTCCAGGAAGCACACACGTGGGACATCAGTGGTCCCACAGCCTAGGAAGTGCATCACAAACTGTTTTCATCCCCAAAATAACTCATTTACTTGAATATTTCTGAATGTCGGTAACTCTACCTTCCCGATAACACAAAGGAAATAGTAGACATACTTGCAAGCCTTATCTCTCTGTACAGAAGCCAAAAGACACAAAAGTTTCACACGATTACTCCTCCGGGAAGTATCTCCTCATACGAATGGCTCTCAACACTCAAATGTGGCACAAATCAACTTCCTTGTTTTTTAAGCAGTTGCACCAGTGTCCGTCAGGACACCAGAACTTACTAAAATGGCTCAAATGCTTGCCAATAAACCTCCAGGGGCGGAAAATGTAACACCAGCATATATATCCCATGGTCCATGAAAGGGGTAACATCATGATGGTCAGTTTCCCGAGTGGAAGAATGGGACCAACTACCCCTACTTCTCAGGGATTATGGGTGATTCTATTTTACTAATCTTGCTTATGCATTACTTTCTCCTTCTCTACAATGAATATGTACCCCTAGCGAGCATTAGAGGTGTGGCTAACGCAGGTCAGCCCCTCCCCACTTCTGTCTTGGGTTATTGGGACCTGGGCTGCTTGTGACATTTCTGTTCCTGTAGGGGAGTGGTTCTGGCCCTGCCCACTGGAAGCAGCTCACCTGGGCTGGGTCCAAGGCCTCGTTTCCTACCACATAGGTATGTACCTGCCAGATACCTGGGCCAGGCCACTCCCCTGGGCACCTGGGGCCCCCTCAGCCGTCACTGGGCTGGGTAGTTATCATGACACCAGGGGAACAGACAGACTTTTCTGGGTCCAGACTCAAAGGTGTGTGTGATGCTCTCTCTCAGAGGCCAGGGCACACAGCCCTGACCTTCCCTCCTCCCTAGGCCAGCTGAGGATCCTAGCAGAAAGGGCCCGAGGCTAGGAACCTGGTTCTGGTCCTGCCTCCAGCATCCTGAGAAGCCACCCAAACACTCAGCTCCGGGCCTTTGCACATCCTGTTCCCTCACTCAGGTATTCTCTTCTCCCAACAAATGCTTCCTCAACTGCCAGGTCCCCAGCCTAGATGGCTCTTCTTCTAGGAAGCCCTCCTGGACCACCAGGATGAGGTCAGGTCCTCCCGTCTGCATCCACCCTGTCAACTCCTCCCAGCTCATAATTAATTGTGAGAGTCTGAGGCCAGCAAGGGCAGAGTGGCCCCAGCACCCGACCTAACACATTCAATGCATGTGTCCTTGGCCATGGGTCTGCCCGTCTCTCTCTTCAGGGTAATTCTTCAGTCTCGTCCGCAAAGATTTCCCTCCAGAAAGACCCTGGGGCTCGTTCCAGCCTTATGAGCAGCTCTCCTGTCTGAGCTAATGACTGCTGATCCTCCAGCTGGGAAAATGCCGGCGTGTAACAAATCCTCAAAGCCAGGTCAAGTGCTGGCTGGCTCTGAAAGAAGCTGTTTTTATTCCCACCCCTTTGGTCTCAGGGTAAACGGCACATTTTCAGTCACTTGGTATTTGGAAAGGGTGGGAGGAGTGAAATGAAGTCAACCCTCCCAATCTAAAGCCTTCACAGCCATTCTTTCTGCTGTCTCCCCTGCCCACCCCCACCCTCACACACACATACAATGCCCCTGCCCAAACCATTCCCCTTCCTGAAAGACTTTCCCCATAATCCTGTCTGGCTTTTAGAGTTCATGAAATCCCCACCCCCTCCACAAAGCTGTTCTGACAACTCTGGCCCATGATGACTGTTTTCTTCTCTGAATGCCATTTTACAGACAGCAAAACTGAGGCTCAGAGAGATGAAATCACTTGTCTGAGGTTACCCAGCAACTCAGGACTCAAGCTTCCATGCAGATAACACTACCTGCTCCCCTCTTACAATGTGTCATTTATTCTCTCACCAAATACTCCCAGCCCTGTGAAGGAGGTACCCATTTGCCAGATGAGGAGACTGAGGCTTGGAGGCTGAACCAAGCCACCAGCTAATAAGAGGATTTGAACCCAGGTTCACCTGAGTTTCCCATCAGACCACGGGGTCCCTGAGGGCAGGTACTGTGTCCAGCAGAGGGAGGCACTTAGGAGCCCACAGTGCGGGTACAGCCTCCATCCCTCCTCAATGGCCTCCAGCACCTTGAAGCCTGAGCACAGGGCGACCTGGGCAACTGGGAGGACATGAACAGGACTGGGTGGGGGAAGTGTGGCAGCCCACCAATCATGGATATTCAGCCACTAATGACCCCAAGAACCAGCACCAGGGCCACCAAAATGATGTGGTTTGGATCCCACTTTTAGAGGGACCGGTTTGGCCTGTCAGAGAGAAGAAGTGGGTGCTCTGCACAGGGGCCACTCTAGGGCCAGGGCACCTGCAGAGGAGGTGAGGCTGGTACCCTTCCTCCTCATCACCTTTCTCTCTGCCACCAGCCTGGCTACCCAGAGGGCAGAGGGTGAAGGTCACTGAGAAGGAATGACCCCAGCCCCAGGACATGTGGTACCCTTAATCAGGACTTCCATGGGGCTGATGAGTGGCAGGACCGTGCACCACCCCAGGGAGCAAGGGCTGGCCTTTCACCCCACATCCGCAGACCCAGGACCACAGGTTCCAGCTGGGGGATCAGAGCCCACCTGTGCTGCTAAAACATCCTTACCTCCTCTGCACCATTCCTGCCCCCCAGTCCCATGCTGGGGCCTATGCTGACCCGCAGGCTATAGCCAGGCAGTGTCCTATCCTTCCCTGGACAAACATTTACTGGGCAAATATACTATTACTGCAATAACAGGACAATGATGACAGCAACAGCCAAAACTCACTGAGCACCTTCCCTGCTCTCAGATATTTAATCTTCACAACCACCCTCTCAAGAAGGTGTCCTCATCCCCATTTTATAGAGGAGTATACTGAAGCTCTCTCAGGTGAGGTAATTTGCTCACAGGCACACAGCCTATAAGAGGAGGATCTGGGCTTGAACCCACAGCTGTCAGACTCCAGAGCCCTAGCTCTGATGACAAAGAGGTTCAACTGGGGGAGAGTCACCCGCAGTGATGAAGGGGCTGGGCGGGGTCCTTAGAGACCACTACAGCACAACACGAGCCTGGCTCGGCACCTCTCACCTTGCGCCAGAGGAGCTGGGCCTGTGGCATGCCTGTGGCCTCGATCTCATGGCGCATGCTGTTGAAGAGAGCGACGCCATACTGGTCCTCGTAGAAATGGAGGAACTCTGTCAGGATCTTCTCGGTTTTGTCTGAAAAGGAAGAACAGGCACATGAGGTCTTCATGGTTACTGAGGTGCATCCACCCTCCCCTCAGGGAGGGGGCACCACACCAACAAAGCCTGAAATTCCTGCATGTAAAACGGTTTGCACGAGCTGCTCGCTTGCATCTGCGTCGCATTTCCAGCCAGAGTCATGCATTTCCTGCACACACATTATCCCACGCTACTTAACCAACAGCCTTGGAAAAAGGTGAACCACCCAACAGGGAAATTGCCAAAGAGAAAACATGAAAAGCCAACAGACAAATGAAAAGATGCTCAGCCTCATTAATAATCAAATACCTGAAACCTAGACTGAGATTCCACGCTCCGCCTTCAGAATGGCCAAGATTAAAAAGGCTGACGATACCAAGGGCTGGTGAGGATGTGGAAACCAGGTCCTCTTACCCAGAGCTGCAATACTGTAAGTTGGGACAGCCTTTTCGGAGGGTGATGGGCAGCGGCATGCACAATTTTAGGGGTGCACACTGAACCCGCTGATGCTCAGCTCACCTCTAAGAATCTACCCCATGGAACAACTCGAAGGAGAATACGGAGGTGTGTAGGCACTGAGGCAATCACTGGAAACAACCTAAATGTGCATCTGTAGGAGATGGTTCAGTAAGTAACGGTTCACCCATAGCTTGTCGCCATCGAGTCGATTCTGACTTACAGCGAAGCTATAAGACAGAACAGAATTGCCTCATAGGATTTCCAAGGTTGTAATCTTTACGGAAGCAGACTGCCACATCTTACTCCTGTGGAGTGGCTGGTGGGTTTGAACTGCTGACCTTTCCGTTAGCAGCCAAATGCTCAGTCACTGCGCCACCAGGGCTCCTTCCCTCAGGACAGTAAAAAGATTGAGAGGAATCTACGTGTACCAACAAAGGGAAGGTGTCCACCCTGTGTTAAGTAAACAAAAGCAAGTTACAGAATCACATGGAGAATATCACTTCATTTGAAAACTTATTCCTGTTTGTGTATATAAATTACTTACTCTTGGACACTTAGAGAAAAAGGTCCAGAAGGCAGCACGCCAGACTCCTACAAGTGGGACTCCTGGCTGTGGGGCTGCAGACTGCAGAGTGGATTTCATTTTTGGCTTTAATTACTTTTATAGTGTTTGAGTTATTTTATAAGCATGATTCCTTCTATAATTAAAAATAAACATTCTAAAATTAACTCATCTACCAAGCTGTCAACTTTTTCCGCTTTCACTGCCCTTTTGCTTCGCTCTTCTGCTGAAGCGGTTTCTGAACAGGGAGGTGAGCACTGTGGCTTCCAGAGCGAGCCCACCACATACCAGGTGCTCGTACAGCATCCCTACTTACAGATGATGAAACTGAGGCCCAGAGAGGGACAGGATCCACGATGAGGGGGCCTTCTCAGTTCTGGTCCTGAGAAGCTGCAGCCTGAGTCTTCACCTGGGGTCTGTACTGGCTTACCACACAGCTCCCTTCTCGGGCCTCGGTTTCCCCCCGTCTGCACAGCAAGAGGGCTGGGCTCAATGATGGACAGGCCCTGCCATCTCTGACAGTCTTGGATTCCGGATTTTGAGGACCTGGTCCTTCCTCAAATGGGAAAGTGTTGGCATGACCTCCCACCTCAAAGTGGATGGTCTCCTGGTACCAAGGGCACTCAGCTAGGATGGCATCTCATTTAACTCTCTCAATAGCTCTGTGAGGTAAAGGCTGATGTTATCCCCACTTTAAAAAAAAAAAAAGTTGACATCGAGTTGATTCCAACCCGTGCACGGAGTTGAACCATGCTTCACAGGGTTTTCAAGGTTGGAACAGCCAACCTTTCAGTCAGTAGCTGAGCACTGTTCTGAAATATGTGTTGTAGATCCTAAGCTCTATGCCCATGGTTATGATCCCATTTGGGAATGGGTTGTCTTTGTTATGTTAATGAGGGAGGATTAATGTAGGGTGTATCTTGAGTCAATCCCCTTTGAGACATAAAAGAGATTGAACAAGTGAGCAGAGCAGAGATGGGGGAAGGCACATGCCAAGCCACATGAAGACGGCCCAGGAGCAGAAGCTCAAAGAGACAAGGACCTTCCTCAGACCCAACAGAGAAAGGAGGCCTTCCCCTAGAGCTGGCACCCTGGATTCAGACTTCTAGCTTCCTAAACTATGAGAAAATAAATTTGTTTGTTAAAGCCACCCATTTATGGTATTTCTGTTATAGCAGCACTGGATAACTGAGACAAGCACTTAACCATGTGCACCGCCCGGGACTCCTCTTTACAGAGGAGGAAATGAGACCCAGAGAGGTGAAGTCTCTGGCACAAGGTCACACAGCTAGTGGGCGGCAGAGCTGGGATGAAGTCCTGGGCCCAGCCAGGAGGCAGCACCTGGGGAGGAAGGCTGAGAGCCCTGCCACAGCCCACAGACACAGCAAGGGCATCCCCAAGGTCTAGGCTGAACCTGAACCTTCTGATGTTTGCCCCTGCCCCACTCCCAGCCTCGGTGAGGGGATGGGGCATTTACTCTGTAGGGCATCTCTGCCCCTAGATCCCTCTAAGGCCAGATTCTGATTTGGGGAAGGAAGGGGAGAACAAATGAGGTATTTGCTTTGAATGTCTATTTTTCAAAAACCAGAGACCATGGGAATTGTTTTGAAAAAGTGACAAGGCAGGGTGGGGGTAGGGTAATGACTTGGGCCAAAAAGAGGAAACAGAATAGCAGAGGACAATAATATTGACCATCATCGTAATCATCATTAGAATAGCTACCATTTATTGAGTGTTAATCCCCAACCAGGAGTCGCTGGGTGGTGCAAACAGTTAACTCCTCAACTGCTAACCAAAAGGTTGGAGGTTTCGGCCCACCCAGAGGCTCTTTGGAAGAAAGACCTGGTGACCTACTTCATAAGCCATTGAAAACCCTATGAAGCACAGTTCTCCTCTGACACACATGGGTGCCATGAGTCAGAGCTGATTCTAAGGCCAGTCCTCAGGCAAGTTTTACAAGCATGACTCCAAAGGATCTTCATGAAAACCCCAGGGAGTCAGTGTTCAGTGTTCTTGTTTTCCTGTTTTAGGGATGAGGAAGCTCAGAGCCACACTGCTTTGGCCAGGATTTGGTCCCTCCTCTGCCCTGGCACCCAGTGGGCGCTCACCAGCATGGCCTGCAGGATGGGCAAGACTCTGCCTAAAGCCTAAAATGCAGGCTTGGGCCCACTGATCTCGAGGGCCCTTCAGCCCTGACTCTGGGAGACAAGACCCTGCCCTGGTGCACACACCCTTAGACCCAGCCTTATTCCTCACTAGCCAGGACAAGCCACCCTCTCCTCAGGAAGCAGACCCAGGAGGAAGATACCATCCTGTGTTGGCACTAGAACCCAGGTCTGCATGACCTCAGCGCAGTCACCTGTCAGATCAACCTGCAGGGTCAGCTCAGCCGGGACCAGGCAGGGAGTAGCAGGGTGGGGGACTAGAAGGGCAAGGCCAAGCCAGGAGGAGCCCAGGCCCGAGTCAGGTGGGGCTACAGGTTGGAGCGGAAGCAGGTTGGAGAAGGAAACCCTAAGCAAGTGCAGTGATGGCGCCCTGTCAGTGTGGAAGCCAGAGGGGGAGATGAGGCTGAGGTTCAAATCCCAGAGCCAGTCAGTGCTGCTGGTGGATGAAATTCATTCCGTATATACCATGTTGGGATGCAGAAAAGTTATCCAAGTGGGACTGTGGGGCCAGCATCCAGGAGAGGTGGGAGTGGGGGAGGAGAGGTCACCAGGGCAGAGAGCAGACAGAGAGGGTATGGGCAGAAATTTGTGGGGGGGGGGGCTCCTTAGTTGATGAAGTAGTAAACAAGGAGAGCCCCAAAATGGGAGAGGTGAGCCCCAGCCCATTCACCCTGTACCCCCCCTCAAACCACAGCAGCCATGCCTCTGATTTCACCCAACTGTAATCACAGGCCTGCCTTGCTATCCGAACTCAAGAACTCTAGAGAACTGGATTGATTTTCAGATAAGCCCTTTGCTCTCTGAAATTCCAGAACCAAACAGTTCAGAGAGTGTGGGATCCCTCTCACTAACCAACCTTGCTCTCCCAAATGGATGAGGATAGGGAGGGATGCTAGTATTTTCGGAAGGACTGCAAACGAATGCCACAAGGGCAGCCAGCTCCCCTTTGCTCAGGCACTGGGCGGCACAAGCTGAGCAAGAAGAGTGCATGGTGGGAACTAGCCAATGGACAAACAGCTCCTGAGCACCTGCTCTGCACTGGGCCCTCTAAGGACGGAGGAAGGCTGCTGGGGGGTCCCAGGACCCTGAAATGACAGGCAAGGGGTGGGGCAAAGGCATTCTGTAAGTGGTTAAGGACTGAAAGGATGGAGTCCAGCCAGCATAAGGGAGCTGGGTATGTTTGGCATAAGTTTGGCAGCAGAGGGAGAGCTGGAAGGGAAGACTGTGATGGAACAGGCCACGGGATGGCTTCTTGGCAGGGGTAGCCTGGAGCAAAGTTTTGAGAGATGTCCTAAGACAGCTTGGGAGGAACTACCACATGCTTGGTACAAAGGAAGTGCCACAGGAATGCAGAGGATGAGGAGTTGGGGCGCTGTGGGGGGCCTAGGGGTGAGTCCCAGAGGAACCTAAGAGACTGGAAGGACCTGGGGAGGCAGGATGAGGGCCAGCCTGGACAAAGGGCTCGACAGGGAGAAGCTCTCCACAAGGTCACCTTGGCCTGTCTAGCCGGACACTGCTAGAAGACTCAGACGCGCCCTGCAGCACTGACAGGCACCCACAGCAGGGCAGGGCCTCACTGCTCCACCTGCTGCTGAGCTCTGGGGCCACGGCCCAGGAAGCCCCCTCCCCATAAGCACTGCCTAGCACCCCGCTTATTTCCTTCTTGCCACCCCTGCAGTGGCTATCTCCCTGGTACTGCCAGAAGGATTCCACGACACAAATTCCCCTGGCAGAGTCCCTGCCTGGGTGTGTATGGATGGTCCCGAGAGCCTCGGGCACCCACTCTCCTTGGTACCTGCCCACACCAGCTC